AATACCTGAGCCTATGTAGGACATTTCTCATTCAAACCACCACACTCCACTCTGTGGTCCCCATAGGCTCATGACCATATCATAATGCAAAATGCATTTAGTCCAACTTTAAGGTCTCTGTAGTCTTTAACAGTCTCAACACTGTCCAAAAGTTCAAAGCTTCTTTTGAGACTTAAGGCAATCTCTTAACTGTGATCTTTTGTAAAATCGAAAAGCAAATTGTGTATTTCCAACACACAGTGGCACAGCATATACATTCCCATTTCAAAAGGGATGAGAGGGGGCATCGTGAGGAAATAATGAACCCATGAGTTAATTGACTCCAAGTCACTCACCGATAAAAGCCTTACCATCTATTGGCACTTTTTCAAAGATAACAATTTATATGTGCTTCTTAATTTAAATTACTATTTACTTTAAATAAATGCATCTCAAAGCTCACATCATTCCTTTTCTTTTTTGGCACAAAATCTTTCTGCCACTACAGTTTCTTTGAATGTCATTGAAGTATCACTAAAATATCTCATTTACTTGACTGGTAATGAGGACAGTGTCATTCAATTGGGAGAAATGACACACCCCTCCTAATGTTGATCTTTCTTGTGCTGTTGCTATGCCTGTACTTCAGGTTCCTGATGGAAAAACTGCAACTTCAAAAGTTAAATTTAATTATGTTCCCTCAACTTTTATTTTAATTTACAAAATTAATTAATTATACCCAGAATTGCCAAGTACCATAAGTGGTCTAGGTAAAATAGAAAAGTGGGTTTGCTAAGAAAGATAATTTGATGGTGTTGTACACAGAAAATGTCTAACTACCAGCCAAGGTCACCTCATTCAAAACCCATTCAGTGAAGGAATTGTGCATTTTAATGCTAGGTGTGTTCCAACTTAACTAGTTAAATGTTAAAGGTTGGAAATTTTGCCTCTCAGAACTATGTCTTCAAAGTTCTTTCTCTCTTATAGTGTGACCTAAGAAGTCTTAATAGCTGAACAATCTGAAAGCACTCCAGTGGGTCACCAAGCTAATGTTTAGCTTTTCACCACAACTGCACACATGATTACACTTGGCTCCTTATCACACCAGTTAAGGTAGACATTCAATCTGCCTTATCCCTTTACAAGCAGATTTTTTTAAAAAAATTCAAGTTGCTTACACATAAAGGAAGTTACATTTGAGAATTACATGGATTCAGTTTTCCTCGTAAGTACAACACAAAGAGAATTACTTTTAAAAAATAAAATACAGAACCAATTCAAAAGCTCAATAATTGCTCAAGAATTTTAAGGTTTCCCCCAGCCAACCACCAAACCTTTTAAAATATCACTGCTAAAACAAACCAATCCAATCAATGAACCAGCCAACCAACAGCATAAAAGCACCATAGCATCCAGAAATACTTTCTTAAGATTTGCTTTCTATGTAGCTTTCACATCTGGGCTACCATAGCTCAGCAGCTGGACCACAAGTTCTTATCTGCAACAAAATAGATGACTTCATCGATATTGGTATATGTGTAAGATGCAGAAGAAGCAGCTTGGGAGTAAGGAGTCAGTCTAACGTTGGGTATTCAAACATCAGCTTTTGGTCCAAGTGTATATGCATATTATGTAATATTGGGCATGACGACTCACAGACAAATTAGAGATATTAAAGTGTGTATATCTCTCTGAAGATATTATTTAAGGTAACAACCAGAACCAAGAGTACAGCAATAACTTTGGAGCATACCGTGTCAAATCTACAAAATCAAAAGTGCACATACTCTTTGAGTTAAGAATTCTAGTTTTAGGAATTTACTCTTAAGATGTAGTCATTGCACATGTGTGGTGTGCATACTGGTATGTACAAATATGGTGTTTGTAGTGTTGTTTGTAATGACAAAAGCTGAAAAACAGAGACTACTCCAACATCAATTTCCATTTTTAGTCAAATACACAAACATATACCTTCTAATATTATATTGTTCACTTGCTATGTGCTAGGCTCATGGTCAAATGTTATTTATGTATCTACTTATATAGTTAAAATTCATATGATATTTAATATGTTTCCATGTGTCATTTTAAATATGACTGGATTTTCCCCTGCTTTGTGTTGTGCAGTGTAAGCACAGTCATATGCACCCTGGTGTGAAGGGTTAAAAAGGCTTATTGTTTCCCACATATTTATTTGAAGTACTTTAATAACTTCAGTTTGCTCAGTGTTCCGAGATTCCTCTCTGGCCTTCAGCACAGGTCCTCTTGATACAGGAGACTACAGAGTAGAATGACTCTACCTGAGAGTTTCTGGGGACCCAGCTCCTGGTGAGAATCATGGCAGGGCAGGTAAGCAGATTTCCCTAGATTGTGAAGCCCTGACCCTGTTTAGAGCTACATGAAGGAGTGTAGCTTCCAGCAAGAGTTATGACATTCTGTGGTTTGTTAACATTATTGAACTCTATATATTTATTGAACTGCAGATAAGTATAATGGATTTAAACAGATACTTCTGAGCTGCTAGGGCAAATCAGTAGAAGAGTTGGGTGACTGTGAATCCCCAGAAAGTCTGTATATTTGATTCTCAAAGAGAATTGTAACAACACACCAGAAAATTGCTTGTAATTCAAGTCTCAGATTTTAGAATACAGCATTAATAATTCACAAAAAATATTCTTTAAGAACTATAAAACCTGATGCTCTGAAACTCTAAATACGTATTTTAAAAAAACTTACTATGCTGCCACAATTATTTAGGGGAATAAATGACTTTTAACTTGTTCCAGATTAGGTGTTTTGGTGAATAGTCTTTAGAATAGCATCCACTAATATTATATATTACAGACTATGAGGAAACGATCCTTCAACATTTCAAATGAATCCTGAAAATATTTACCAGGTGCCTAACTTAATGGAATGTGTCCCACAATTTCATCGATACACTCAGCCGAGGTCCTAACAAAACCCAGGCTAGAGAGGGCCATGCAGTATCTGAGCATGCTTAGGTGATAGGGATGGCCACAGATTCTAGGGCCAAGTGGCCTGGGTTCAAGCCCAGGGTAATCAATTTCTGGTGGTGTAGTATGGGGCAAGTCACTTCACCTCTTCAATATGTAGTTTCCCTAGATTTAAATCAGGGATGGTAACAATACTTCCTATGTAAGGTCATCCCAGTAATTGAATGACATAAATTAAGTTCCTAGAGCCTAATAAATCGTGGCCATTGTGTATTGTGCCCCAAGCTAAACCAAAGGCAATAACATAGGATTTGAAGGATTTCAAGTTAGCACCCATAGCTGTGGGACCTAGTTTGATAACTTGGGTTTGTTTCTGAGCAATACAGATGACTAAGTGGTCAGATTTATTTAAACTCATCAGTTTATTTCAGAAATAAAAACACAGCTTTAGTTGACTGGATAGCTTCAGAGGAAAGGATTTAACTTCCTAGGGAAATAATAGAGGAACTTGAAAGGAAACCTGCATACTCAGTCAGATCAAAAATAGTCATTTGACCAGACAGAAAGTACAGTGGTCTTGGAAGAGTCAGTTTACATCTGATCTGGAGGCAGCACAAGCAAGAAAATGGTCTCAACCCCACCTTCCATACAGTCCTTCAGCCTTTAGCTGATTTAGGGAGGGCTCTAACTCGGTAAATGTGTAGGATCACCCAAGATCTCCTAAAAAGAACTTGTACCAACTTCCATGCATAGCTTGTAGATTATAATCTCCCTTTGGAAAGGGATCTTGATTCATTTATTTTTAAATTTCTCATGCTTCCACTGGATAGCGTCTCACTTCAGTTTTGAAGAGTTGAATTGAAATGTTCTCCCAGATGCTGTGGGAAGACCTAAGCTGTGATCCCCTAAGAAATAAGTGAATCATTTCTGGTCCTACCAGAGTTGTGACTATACTTAAGACATTCATTTTCAGTTCATATGTCTCTAAGCAAACCCTCAGAGTTCTTCAAAAGTGATTGCTGCCCCAGATTTTAGGATTTCTTCTTTGTATGTTGCTTTCCTACAGGGTCTGGATCTTAATCTATGTCCCATCTCTAAGCCTCAGAAATGTCTGGAATTCCCTTAAAACGTGGCTACTGAAATTAGGATTTCCAGAGATCCATGAAGGGAAACTCGAGGACTGCCTGATGGTGACCACTCCTGCCACCTAGGTTTCAATATCCTACATGACCTTCCCCAACCTTACAGGCCATTTCTCCTTATACTGAGGCCAAGGCTGGCCTTTGAACCTGATCTTTAACTCTAACTCCTGGTGGGTCCCTGAACATCCTATTAGTCATGTGTAAAAGGGTGGAAATATCTACTGTGGAATGCTGAACTGGATAAAGGAAGTGACAGTCTAACTCAGCACTTGGACCACTGCAGTTATTCTCTGAAGAGTAGCTGAGGCCACTTGCAGCAAAAACCTGCATTTTACCCACTAACTAGCCTGGGCCTCTTTCTTCCAAGTCATTTGTCTTCTAAAAATATATGAGCGCTTGTTTTTTCCCTATTCTCAAAACAGAGCTTCCCAAAGGTACCTTGACTGTAACTCATCTGCTCATCTTAAGATGCAGACTCTAATAGTAAGTTTGGGACATATTTGCATTCCTAATACACTCCCAGATGTTGTCCATGCTACCAGTCCATGGATCACCCTTTTAAGAGGATGTGCCCTGAAACCTAGACTTCAGGACACATGGTTCTCAAACTTTACAGTTACACAGAGTTAAAAACAAAACAAAACAAAACAAAAAAACAATTACTATGATCCACCCCAAAGCCTCTGATTCAGTATGTTTGGGTCGGGCCCTGCAAATCTTCCTTTCTAACAAATTCTCAATGGTGGTAATGCTGGTCAGAGCCTTACACTTAGCAGAGGGCTACGGAAATTCATCAGGAAATTTGGCTCAATGATTACTATTAGGAGGGGAGGAATCTCCTTGAGGAAGTGCCCTCTACACTTAAAAGGCTCTTCAGCCTCCCAGCTGTGCCCCTCCTACAGCCCGCCCGAGGCTCATTTACCTTGTAGACATTGATAGGAATGTCGATAATGATGTGCAGCAGATCTCCAAGCGCCAGACTGGCGATCAAGATATTGGGACCATTTCGCATGCACTTGTTCTTGTAAATGATTCTCAGCAATGTGGAGTTTCCGATGATGCCCAGCACAAACACGAGACAGGACACAACCGTGTTGATGTATTTGAAAGTCTTCTTGATCTCAATGTTTCCTTGGCACGGAGGAGAGGACAAGGATCTTGGCGGGGCTCCAGTCACCTTGCCTCCTTTGGGCACCTCCGCAGGTGCAGGCAAACGCGGCAGACTGGAGTTGGAATCACTTGGCCAGGAGGTCTTCGTGAGTGGCGTCGTTACCTCGCTGGTCCCCAGGGGCGACTGTGTAGCTTGGGCCGGTGGGACTCCTCTTTCCTCTCCCCAGACCCCCAGCGAGCCACAGGCAAGAACCAGCGCCACCCAGGCGCATCCGCTCAGGCTGGCCGGCAGCTGCATGTTAAAGCTTGCTCCTGTGGGCGTCCGGTGACCGCTCCGCTGTTTTCAGTCTGGAGACCAACAGGGGAATGAAGACAGGATACTTTTGTCAGCTACCCCAGCCACGCCTCTGCAAAGGCTAGCACGGACTGCGTCGCCGCTACCCGCGCGCGGTAGTAACTTAAGTTCGCGCGCCAATGGGGAACTTCGACCAGCGTCACCCGCCCACCCGCGATCAGTCTCTTTCCTGACCCTACTCTCAGTAGTTTTCTTCCCAGACTTCTGGCTCAGGGGTAGGTCACTCACAGAGGGGCGGAGCATTCTGGCAGGGGTGTTTCAGAGAGGGTGGGTGTCCCAAGGAAAGAACACTTCTGTGTGCGGGAGGGGAAAGAGCAAGCGGATTTCAGCTAAGCTTAGGACCCCAGACTGAACGCACGCAGCGGTCAAGGGCATGCATCAATCAACTCAGCAGGAGCCCAGAGAATATTAACGGCGACTGACTTCTGTCCTTTCCAAGCGGCTTCCAACACTCAGGAGCGTTACAACCAAATCTCATTTCAAATTGCTGCTGTGTTTAAGTTTTACTTATTTAAAATTCCAAGCTACTAAGTCAAGCAAAAAGCCCCATGGTAAAGTACAGTCACTGATTTTAATTCAACACCCAGTCAGAAAGGTTTGTTATCTCAGGGATCCACTCACCAGAGCCACCAGCCGGCGGGGGGTCGGGGTAACCTCCTTCCCCGGACCCAGAGATGCCCAGGGGCGCGCGGCTTCCAGCCAGATCCCAGCAGCTTCTGGAGTGAGCGCTCCTACTTCAGATGCCGGAGACAGAGGCTCTGACGAAATGCAGAGGGAATGCCAGGCAGTGGAGCCTCCTCAGTTCGCTCTGGGTTTCTGCTGTTCCCGCACAAGTACTTTTATTCATTCCTCCGTTCCAGAGCATCAATCACCACCAGACTCTTCCGGCGCTTTCTGACCCACCGTGCCACAATCTTTCCCCTTGGACGATGCCTGGACATCCAAGCTGCCCGCCGGAGGGGGCAGTGCTAGGCTAGGGATGTGCCCCTAGAGACTGTTTATTTATCATTGAAAGAAGAACCTAACGCATCCCTTGACACTCTGGGAGCTGCTGACTAAACAAACTTCTGAATTAACCTGGTCCTTTAAATACCTGACTTCTTTCACATAAATGTTCAATGGTGATACTTGATACATAGTTGGTTTTATTTTTGCTTTTCCCTGAAGTTTCAAGTCAACAAAGAAGAGCAGGATGCTTTTTTCTAAGGCTCACGAACTGCTCCGGGAAATGACTATGAGTTTCCCCTTCTTTTTGTGTGGTGCAGCTCTTCTCCCTTTTCCTGTGTGTCCTGAAATGCCACCATCAGGTCACTACAGGATCTCACTACTGTCCCTAAGAGGACCTGCTGCAGGAGCTATGAAAACAATCGGAAAGCAGGCCAACAAACACAACCCGAAGCTTGTTTTACCAGGCAGTGCAATGAACCATGTTCTGCCCATCCATTCTTGAGTTTTTTATTTTATTTTTTTAAAACCAAATAGAAGGAAACGCTTCTGTCACTTTTGTGCAAATCTTATATAAAACTCAGAAATTCAGGCTGTGAGGCACATAGTCTATTCCTTTGCTTCCAGTGAAATACAATTGGTCTGGAAGTTTAAAATGCAGAAGAAACCAATCATCCTATACAGCAAATTCTCCCAGTGACCAGGGTACAGGGTGTTCCTTTATTTATTTTTATACTGAAATTTTGGATTTGGGCACCCGTCAAATGTTTTCCGAGAAAATGGAAACAGAAAATGAGTTATTAAAGGTGAACATTAAGTGTGAAATATAGTTAAGCACAGGTATAAGGAATGAGAAACATGGCCTGGGGTTAGTGCTATAACTGGAGTCACAGACGTTTATTAGCCACCATGTGGGTGGTGGGAATCAAACCCAGGTCCTCTGCAAGAGCAGCCAGTGCTCTTAACTGCTGAGCCATCTCTCCAGCTCCAACATGAAATCTCTTATATTTATGAGCAAAATACAGTATCAAAGTTTAAGAATTCTCTTCTGAAAACTTTTGGAGTTGAACTAACTCTGTATTTATGAAGGATTTATTCTGGGTGCATATATATAAGTGGATTCTTTTTTTAATCATGAAGATACTTTTACAAAGTGTTCTAGGGAACCTGTCAAGATTTCACATAGGCTAAAATCACCTCCCAGAGTCAGAAAGGTAGTAAGGGGCAATGTCCCAGTATCTCCTTTAAACACTGTAACTAGAGGTTGAAGACAAGTTCGAATGTACTTCAGAATTTGAGCTTCAAAGAGGTTTGCCATGAGGAGCTTGCCCAGGGCAAACATTTTCTCCTCATAAGAGAATAAAAGAAAAACTTAGCCACAGAAAGGCTAGTGCTTTCATATAATCCTCTTGATATGGATATACCCTTTGAAACTTATTTTGAATTCTCTAAATCATGAGTGCTGAGGGACAAGGTGTGTGAAAAGAGCAGATAGTATTGGCTCAGTTGCTTTCTCACACATTCCCTGAGGACCAGAGCCAGTGATCAAATAGCAGTTGAAATAGAGTATGAAAAATTCTTAAAGTGACTGCATGAACCGGTAGCAAACCCCATGAACATTTCTATTTCTTGGATTATTTTCTTCTTCTATTGTGTTTCTGTAACTATGCAGGCTTAATGGATTTAAGAATTATTTTTTAAAGATTAAGGTATAATTTGTAACTTATATGTAGCCAAATTGAGAGGTACACAACTTAAAGAATTTTTTTTTTAATTAGAAGAAGCATTTTATTACAACAGCATTAACCTATTCAATAACATTTTTCTGAGCTAGGGTACATCTCTTTCAAAATTGGCTGTACATTTTTAGGTTTACAGATGAATTATTACGCTTGTACAATCTTTTACTCATTATAAACTCTATAAGACATAAAATTAAATGAGGTTTTTAAGGTTTAAAAAAGTTCTCCACTTCGTTGTTAAAATACACAGTTTCATACAGAAAAATTCATTTTAAGGCAATTGACATTGCGACTTTTCACATAGCATTTCTAATCTCTATATATATGACTATTACTGGTCACAGCCGCTTACTTTCTGAGTAACTTGGCATCTGAGTATGAATATAAACTCGTCAGATAGACAGTCTTCCTCTCCCACTAGAGCCTCCATACTCTGTCATCCCTGCCACTGTCCACTGTGTTGTCAGGACCCCCACCTAGTCCCCCCTATCTGCGCTTCTGGTAAATCTAGTCAGCCAGAGGTCCCTGTTCCAGGAGGATCAGCTGTTCCTCATCTACGGCAATCCATTGTCAGTATTCCTTTGGATAGAATTGGGGTCTGCTGTTCATTTTTCCAGTAGTGTGTTGGGTTACTATCTGGAAGAGCCTTTATCTA